CTACATGTCACCACAGCAGGACAAACTGACAGACAAGTTTGTCTTGTTGTTGGAGACCTCTCGTATCACCCCCACCTGGGTCCCTGTGGCTGACTGTACCTCTGTCTGGCTTCCTGGCTTTTAATCCCCTTCTCCTGCTCTTCTGGCCTGCTGCTTTGGGCGTCCCTGAGTTGTCCCTGGGGCTGACTGCTCCTCTGTCCCAGTTCCTGGCTTTTATCCCCTTTCTCCTGCTCTCTGGTCCTGCTGCTTTGGGCGTCCCTGAGTTGTCTCTCCTCACCTGTATCCCTGGGTCTGACTCCTCTTCTGTCTGGGTTCCTGGCTTTTATCCCCTTTCTCCTGCTTTCCCGTCCTGCTGCTTTGGGCGGGCCTGAGTTTCCTCTCCTCACCTAATCCCTTCGGCTGATTGCTCTTCTCTCTGGCTTCCTGGCTTTTAATCCCCTTGCTCCTGCTCTTCCCGCCTGCTACTTTGGGAGTCCCTGAGTTGTCTCACCTCACCTGTAACCTGTAACTACACTTTATACATATTAGTCCAAGAATTAAAGATCACTATTCAAATTATTAGCCCAAAGCCCATAGGGAAAAGAAAGAAAGAGAGAAAAAGCATGTGAGAGAGTGAGAGAGAGATACAAGGTTTTTGTTTACAGAGGCAAACTTTCATTTTCTTTTTGTTAATAGGTATTTAACCAGTGAAGCACTGCAGATTTATTGACTAAATGTTAAGGTAGCACATTTTTTAGTAGAAACTATTTTTTCATTTTTCAAATACACCTAATTTTATGTGCCGTATACTGTCATTTTTTCCATTTAGACATATGGTTCCTTCCACAAGATGGATTGACAGGGTGGCTGCAACAATGGGCTCACATATAGCTAGGATCGTGGAGCTGGTGTGGGATGGGGCGGTGTTTCGTTCTGCTGTGCATGGGATCACTATGAGTTGGAAACTACTCAACGGCCCCTAACAACAACATACTGTCATCTTTATAAGGTATCAATATAGCCAAGTTTACTGATTCCAGCGTCTTGTCCCTCTTGTTTTGCAGGTAGGTTTATACCAAAGAAAATAGATTCCAAGTATGCAGATAGTATATGACACGAACAAAAGGAGTTGGCTGCCTCATGCAATGTGTTTATATCTATATACATTTGTGTGTTTATAATAAAATGAAATCTAAATGTAATTTTGGAATTAGCAATTTTATGTCATATAGACACTTAGAGAAGGTAGGCTTCTGATACAGCCAGGGCAGGAGTTAGCTTGTATGTTTTAGTAAATCCATACTCAGGGGCTTTAGCCAGAGCACTTAGAGACAGTTTATATCATGGTTGAGTTTTCACAACTGTATAGTTGGCTTTTGATGATGTACTTTGTAAACAGGCTACAGGCTACCTTAACTAATTTTCACCTGACCTTGAATTTGAGGCAGGGACAGAGAATAAATTATTGGGAAAAGAGGCTTTGATCTCAGTAAAAGTTTTTCTCAATTGGTGGATTACACATTGCCATCGAGTGGATTCCAACTCACAGTGACCCAATAGGATGGAGTAGAACTGCCCCACAGTGTTTCTAAGGCTGTAATCTTTCTCAGAAACAGGTTGCATATCTTTCTCCCTCAGATTAGCTGTTGTGTTTGAATCATGGACATTTTGGCTAACAACCAAGAGCTTAACCATTGTGCCACCAGAACTCCTTCCCACTTAGTAGATGGAACATTTTCTTTTCCCTGCTTTAAATCACAAAGACAGATAAGTTGCACTTGCATATGCTTTGTTCCAGGCATAGGTAAGCAGGACTAGATCAGTAGCTCTTAAATTCTCAAATAATATTAGGATATGTAGACAGAGAGAGCAGAGTTGGAAAGACAGAGAGGAAGGAAGAATAATTACTTAGGAACCATCTGTCTGTCTTTTTCTGTATGGCTATTGTAATTCACTCTGTTTAACGCCTTCTAAAATGCAAATTGGATATTTAATCAATTTTTATAGTTTCCAATTGCTCTTTTGTTTCTATGATCTGTCACAAAATCTATGTAAATGAAATCAACATAGTAGAATATTCCATCAGTGGAGAAATTATCCTCCCTGAAACAATAATGACCAGAACAATGGTCTTGAATAATGCCACCCTGATTTAAAACATTACAAACAATTCAATTATTTTGCGATTTATTTCATTAAGTCAGAGGTCCTGCTGTTCATTAAATGAATTTATAACTATTCAGACTCATATTAGTGTAAAGTTTTACTTGCTATTCAGCTAACAGATGTATCAAACGTTTTGTTATGGTCCTTATTTATTTATTTATTTATTTATTTCAGTATGGTGCAACTGTGTTATAGACATGTTCCAAACCAAAACCAAACTCACTGCCATCAAGTCGATTCTGACTCATAGCAATCCCCACTGGGTTTCCGAGCCAGTAAATCTTTACTGAAGTAGATTGCCCAGTCTTCCTTCCACAGAGTGGCTGGTGGGTTCAAATTGCCAACCTTCTGGTTAGCATTCAAATGCCTTAGGCACTACGCCACCAGAGCTCCTTAGTATGAAAGTTTGTAATTTCACTGAAAATACGATAATTATTATCTTAGTAAACTGCAATATTTATTAGACTTTCAATTAATGGAGCTGTACAACTACAGTGAATAAGGGAATATTCAAAAATTTCAGTGTGTTTGCTTTAATACTCAAAGACACTTCTTTATCACTTTATCTGTGGTTAGTTATTATTCAATGTTTTATCTTGACTTTGGATAGCTTTTTAACTTTGGAAGCAATAATGAGATAAAATAGACAGAAAATCCAACTAATCAAAGATTAGTTGTATTTTTTGTTCATTGACTTGTACATATTTTTATTCTTCAACATCCATGTACATTTTATGTTTCAGAAACTTCTGTCATCTCTAACTACGTATTAGCATTGCAAAGACAATGCTAGTGTGTGCTCAACCACAAGGTGGCAATGTGACAGTTAAAACAAACTCAGGCCTGAGTCAGGTCAGACTTTAGTTCTAGTGATAGATTCACCTGCTATACTTATTAAATTCAATAAAAATCCTAATTACATAATAAATCCATAATTCTAGAATATAAACATCCCCCACACACATACACACACAATGACATACATTAAGCAATGAGCAGGGAAATGTTGATGTATCCAGGAAGGTCATGTTTTCATGCTATGTAATACCTACCTGGGCATGGTACTATTGAAGGCATACCAAATAAAGAAATAATGAAGAGGAAAAATGGTTACAAAAAAAAAAAAAATTATAATAACTTACTTATATCAAACAACCTAAGCAAAAACAATAATTGTAATAGTAATAAAACAAAACCAAGAAACCCATGAAAATGAGATGCTGCTTGTCATTCCAGTTTGGAGCTCATGAAAACATCTGGTGTTCTGGAAATAAAAGCATGGACCTGGACATAAGATCATGTCTTGTTTGTTTCATGCCCTGTTCTTACAGCTCAAAATTATACAAACCATTTACCTCTGTTTTATTGAAAATATTGTTCTAAATTCTTTCTTATTGTAAGTACTTCGAAAGAGGCAAAAGGGATCAAATCAACCACTTATTCTTAATAAAAGGGATCCTGCTGAAAATGAAGGCTTTTGGCTGGGAGTAGTATGATTATTCATAAATTATCATGAATGCATACAAAGTTATAAATATTTCATATTAGTGAATTTTAAAATCTATCAAGAATCTCAGATTACAAAATCCAAATATATCAATATGTCAAAACTCAACATATGCAAGAGTAACACCATCACCTCCCTACCCTCACTCCCAGAGTGGCTTCTCCTGTTAAAGCCAAGTAGTCATTCTAATCTCCTGACTCTTCTTCACCTAGCCTGCCAATACCATCACCAAATCTGTTCTTGTGTGCCATGGAGTTGACTTATAGTGACCCTATAGGACAGAGTAGAAATGTCCTGTAAGGTTACCAAGGCTATAATCTTTATGGAAGAATACTGCCACATCTTTCTCCCGTGGAGCGGCTAGGGAGTTCAAACTGCCAACCTCTTGGACAGCAGTCGAGTGGTTTTACCATTGTGCCATCAGGGCTCCTCACCAAATTTGGCTGTCTCAAATTTTATTATTTTTCAAATCCTCTTAATGGCTACCAATAAGGTTAGTGTTCAAGTCTTCTCTAAATGACTACAAATCACAGCTCTTACATGGTCTCTCAACATCAATGTTTATCCCTTTTACAAGTTTTTTCTAAAATTCATCCTCTGAGTAATTCATCTAAAATGCAAATATGATTTCTCCTCCCTAATCCCCTTCCACACTAGCAATACTACACTACTTCTGTTTCTCACACATATCACAAGCCTTTGTTCATGAGGTTGTTAAGTCTTCAAATGCCCTCTCTCTACACGTTTCCTTACCAACTGTTCTTACTTATCATTCTTTCCTGGCTTGGGATTGAACTTCTCCTCCAGAAAGGCTAAGCTGCAGTTCTCAATAACATTTTGTGCACCAGTAGCCTAGTCTTTTTTATCTTACAAGAATATGAACTCAGTAATCATATCTTAGTCATGTTTGTACCCCCAGCACACCTACCATTAAGTGTGGCACAAAGAGACATTCATTAAATTCATATTGAATTCTTAAAAAAAGAGGAGGAGGGGTATTGATGCTCAAGGAAAGCTTGTTTTCTTGCTAGTTATCCCTTAAAATCTATTACTTTTTATAGAGATTTATTTCTGAGACTCAAAATATGCTGATTATTCATAAAAGAGCTTAGAATTGAGCCACTTTTAAAGGATAAGCCTGATATGATTAGTAAAAGACATGTTCATTTCACTACATGGACTACACTTGATCTTAATTTGCAGTCACTTCTGGGAGGTATCATGGGATGCTCTTATTTGGCTTGCCTCAAAAAATAACAAACACCAGTTGTGCTAATTAGTAATCACCAAAATATAATTCTTATATTTCAGAATATTATATAAATTGCCCAGATATATCTGTAATGTCTGGCCCCCTGCAGATTTTGCTGAGATTGCTTTTTGATTTCAGATTCTCATGACATTCTGCTCCTATTCTTTTCCATGGAAATGTCAGTTCCAGGGAATCTTTTACACAGCATAATTTTATTCACAGAAATTATAGTACTAAAAACCAAAGAGAGTGAAGTGTTTCTAGATACCAATAAGTAAGTGTCCCTATAAGGCAAAATTGTCCTTTTCATTTCAGTAAAAATAAAGTGGTAGAAGATTAAGAGCAGATTTTAAGACATAGAGCTCTTTATTAATCATAGCTTGCTTCTTCTTTTTGATTGACACCGACCAAATTTACTTAATCTCTGTAGGCTTCAGTTTCCAGGTTTTTAGAATGGATATTTCTTAAAGATGTTAGAAAATGGAATAAAATGCTAAATGCTGAGATTGGTGAAGTACCTAGTAAGTGCACAGTATATATTTTTTATTACAGTAATTAAAATATGTTACACACATTTCTGATTTGATACCAAGTATAAGGCTTTACATGAATACCTGTCAGATCGTCCTCCTTCCAAACTGTATCGCAGGTAATTCATACCATCCAGGAACTGACTGCTGGGTAGAGAGTCATCGCCAAGTTCTTTTAGATCCTCAGGCCTAAGATACTCTCCTCCATCACCTGTCATTGTGTCATCACCTTGAAATAACCAGAATAAGATGGATAAAATGAGTCATTTAAAATTGAATTTACATCAACTACAAAATACAATTATGATTATAAAATGGATCAGTATAATGAAATTGACATCAAAGAAACTCTGCATACCAAAACACAGCAAAACACATGCAGGCAACTGAAAGGTGCTAAAACATAGAGATATAATATTTGATCCATTTTCTCATTACTTACCAAGAAAAAATAATTACTTGAGTTGTAATTCTATTAATAGTAGTCAATTTGCTTTACCAATTGTTTCTTTATCATGATAGGTAGTTTATGGCTTATACCATTTAACTTGAAAAGTAGTATAACATGTAGACTACTTAGCTTTTATATACTGTTGTTGATTGTTGTTAGGTGCTGTTGAGTTGGCTCTAACCCACTGCAACCCTGTATACAACACAACAAAACACTGCCCAGTCCTATGCCAGCCCCACAATGCTTTCTACACCTGAATCCCATCCTCGCAACCAGTGTGTCAATCCATCCATCTCATTAAGGGGCTTTCCCTTTTTTGCTGGCCTTGCACTTTACCAACTAATCTTTATGGAAGTGTACTGCCACATCTTTCTCCCGAGGAGTGGCTAGTGAGTTCAAATTGTCAACCTCTTGGACAGCAGTTGAGTGCTTTTACCATTGTGCCATCAGGGCTCCTCATCAAATTTGGCTGTCTCAAATTTTATTATTTTTCAAATCCTCTTAATGGCTACCAATAAGGTTAGTGTTCAAGCCTTCTCTGAATGACTGCAAATCACAGCGCTTACATGGTCTCTCAACATCTATATCCTTCTCCAGGGTATGCCCCCTTCTGACAACATGACCAAAATAGATGAGACAAGTCTGACCATTGCTTCCAAGATGCATTCTGGCTGTACTTCTTCCTGATTTGTTAGTTTTCTGGCAGTATGGTACTTTCAGTATTCTTCACCAACACCACAACTCAAAATTATCAACTCTTCCTTGGTTTTCCTTATTCATTGTCCAGCTTTCATATGCATATGAGGTGGTTGAAAATACCATGGCTAGGGTTAGGCACACCTTAGTCTTCAAAGAGAATCTTTGTTCTTCAGTACTTTAAAGAGGTCTTTTGCAGCACATTTGCCCAGTGCAATACGTTGTCTGATTTCTTGACTGTTGCTTCCATTGGTGTTGATGGTGGAACCAAGTAATATGAAATCTTTGACAACTTCAATATACATAATGTCCAGCATTAGGAATCTGTGTACATAACTGGTAATACGCTAAGAAATGTCTACTGCTCTAAAACAAATATGAAATATTTTAAATGGAATCATAGCAATTTATAAGATTTACAAAGTATGTACTACACTAGAATAACGTGAGCAGATTGTGACATTTGATGAACAAATTGGAATTCAATTTTAAAAACATCACTGAGTATAATAAGGATTTTTTTTTCAAATCTAGATAGCTTCTTAAAGGTGAAAATAAGGATGAAAAAAGAGTAAATTCAGTAATTAATTGGTGGCAGAAAAATAATAAATTTGTAGGTCACATTTAGAAGCCAAAATGGTAAGTGTACATTCCTACAAATACATTGGAACAGAAGGCTTTCAAAATAGCCTTCAGGTAATTCAGTTAATACTTCTTCATAGAAATGCTCTATATCTCATTAATGTGCTAGATGGAGGAATAAGATAGCTGAGAGAAACTGTATTTGAAGAGTCTTGAGGGTAGTGAAGCATACACTTTCAGCCTGACAACCAAATTAAGGGAAAGCACTTGAAGGAATATACCTTATTCCTAAATTAAGTTCAATATTAATGATTTAATCACATTTATTTAAGATATTATTTCCAAAATCAACAGTAATTGATTTGAAAAGAGACAGCATTAAGACATTTTAAAAGAGGTATGTCCTCAGCATCTCACTACTTTGTATTTATATATTAACCCACTTTCGTAGAGTAGTATCCAACTCATAGTGACCTCTCCTTGGGCTTCCAAGGCAGTATCACTACAGAAGTAGATTGCCTAACCTTCCTTCCAAGGAGTGGCTGGTGGGTTTGAACCACCAGCCTTCTGGTTAGCAGTCAAATGCCTTAGGCAGTATGCCAACCAGACCTCCCATTTATATATATTAAGTGTTACATATTTTAAAACACCAAAACCATTGCCATAGAGTTGAATTGAACTCATGGCAACCCTATGTGCTTCAGAGTAGAGCTAAAGAGTTTTCTTGGTAATAATTTCATGGATTATATGGCAGGATATTCAGGTAAAGGGGTAAGAGGCAAGGCTAGGCCCCAAGCTCCCTACAGCCAGGAAAGGGAGGAAGCAGCCAGGGACCACAAAGTGGCAGGTTCCAGGTAGGAATTATGTAAATGGAGAGTGTAGAGGTTTCCAACAGCTCAGGGAGACAAACTTGTCTGTTAGATTGTCATCCTGTGGGGCTTGTAGGTTGCTGTAAGGCTGAGGCTCTGCCACTGGTGTTTCAGATGCCAGGAGAGTTACACAGATTTCAATGCAGCTTACAGACTAAGACAGACTAGGAAGAAGGAGGAGGCCATACACTTCTGAAAAATTTGCCAGGGAAAACCTTATCAATAGCAGAGAAACATTGTCTGATACATTACAGGGCAACTTTATGAATAGCTTGGAAACACTGTCCGATACAGTGCAGGAAGATGAGCCCTTTGGGTCAGAAAGTTACACAGAATAGGACTGGGAAAGAGCTGCCTCATCAGAGTAGAACCAACCTTACTGAAATGGATAAAGTAAGTCTTTCAGGACCTCCATGTGCTGACACGGCACGACTCAGATTGAGGAGAAACAGCTGCAAATATCCATTAATAATCAGAACATGGATGTACAAGTATGAATCTACAAAAATTGGAAGGTGTCAAAAATGAAATAGAATGCATAAAAATTGATATCCTAGGCATCAGTGAGCTGAAATGGACAGATTTTGGCCATTTCGAATCAGACAATCATATGATCTACTATGCCAGGAATGACAAACTGAAGAGGAATGGCGTGGCATTCATCATCACAAAGGATGTTTCAAGATCTGCCCTGAAGTACAATGCTGTCAGTGATAGGATAATATCCATATATATACAGGAAGACCCATTAATACTACTATTATTCAAATTTATGCACCAACCACCAAAGCCAAAGATGAGGAAATTGAAGATTTTTATCAATTTCTGCAGTCTGAAATTGATTGAACATGCAATCAAGATGTGCTGCTTATCACTGGTTATTGGATTACAAAAGCTGGAAACAAAGAAGAATCACTGGTAGTTGGAAAA